TATTATATATATATATTAATAAAAAGGTCTGGTCCTGGAATTCTTACCTAGGGAAAAATCTCTCTTGATTTCAGAACATCAGTTTAGGAATAAAATATAGTTCAAAAAAGTAGAAGTATAGTGGATTCAGGCTGCACCAAATGGGATATGGTAGGGTGAAATTTATGGGTAGCCTGACACCACTCACAGTAGTACCAGAGCCCAGTAACTGTGGTATCATTTGGTACCACAATGTCCAATATCACGATGCATGATATATTGCCATGCTGCTAATACATACCCTGGCATTACTGCAGTGTGCAGCAGTTGTTCCTGGTGACATACCCAGGGTCAAGAACAGAGCTAGGAACACACCCAGAACCTGGTTCTTTCATGTCAATCCTGCAAATTTTAGAGCCCTGTCCCTGCTCAACAAGAATAATTAACTCTATTTTTTGTCTTTTATTTCTAGTGTATTCAGGCGAAGGAAGAAAATCCGTCGCTCTCTTGCCAGCTTGTTCAGTCTTGGTGACTGCAGTTCATGGCTCAGCAGCACTGTCCTCAGCAATGTGGATTCCTCCCTTGTAGATGATCCTTGGCCTGACGGATGGAGGAAACTAGAAGACAGTCGGAATTATATTGGTAAGCCTTGACCAGGTACCAAGTAATCGCGCTAGAGCATTATATAGTCAGTGGGACTTGGGTATCACTTTAGGTTTTTCAGGCCAAGATGTGCAGGTAAAGGATAAATTAGCAACAGAATTGTAAGTGGTGAATTGAGCTCCTGGCACTAAAGATTACAGAGTCCACAAAGGCCTTCATGCCAAAAAGGCATTTTTAGACTGAATTTCAATCCAAAGAGTGCTGTTTCTGGCTGGGGTAGAGTTAATTTTCTTCACAGTAGCTAGTATGAAGCTGTGTTCTGGATTTGTGCTGAGAATAATGTTGATAATACAGGGATGTTTTGGGTATTGCTGAGCAGTGCTTACACAGAGTCATCACCAGTGATGTTTATTCTGGTATCATTAATATCTGTCACTGTCTGCTTTCACCTGGCTGTTTTAATAACGTCATTGTGTTACCCTCTATGCAGTTTTCTCTTTGCTCTGCATATTTTCTCCTGAATACATTGAATCTGTCAATTCCCTACCCCTAACAGTTTGGAAACCTCCCTCTGATTAAGCAATTAAATTTCCTCCCCACAAAATAACACAAAGTCTCAAAGCTCTTCTTTTGTGCAAACTCAGTTACATATGCATTTTTTGTAGGTAATTTGGACTTTTCTTCTGAATATAATAGTCATGAGCCACAAGGACAAACTCCAGCATCTAATGGAGCCTCTCTCATCAAAGACGATGAGTTTCATCAGCCTGAGAAACCATTTTGTACTTCAAAATCCTGCTCTCCATTTACGACAAATGCAAATGACGAGACTTTGAGCAATGCAGGTATGTTACATCCTTGTTCTTATATGCCTCATTTTTAGAGTGAATTGAAAATACTCACATTAAATATACTGATATGGCCTCTTGCAGAATAGAATTTATTTCCTGAAACATGCATTTTAAAGGACTGGTTAAAACAAAAAAAATTCTTATAATTGGTATTTACTTGTTCACTCCTCCCTGCTCACATCTTTTTCTCTCCTATTTTCATTTATAAATGGAAAAAGAAAAGAGTGAAGAGGAAAATGGAGGAAAGGGCACGGGAACAAAAACTGGAACGGGCATATATTCAGAAAAGCTTGTGTCCTGAGAGAATGGAGGGCACAGTGTCTCTGTAGTTGTGGGGAAAAAAGACTCCTGAGAGACACCCGGAGCATGAAAATTAGGTTTCTTCTTTGAATCACTCTAGGCAAATTTGCTTAAAAAGAAACAGAAGAGACTGGCCTCACAGGGTGAAGGTAGTCTTTGCAAATGTCTCTGTCATATATTTACTTTCCTGAAAACTCATGAAAATTATTTTCCTGATTTTTATTTTAGAATCCAGGACAGGGCAAAATGTCTTTTCTCAGATGGTTGCACTGATCATGTGTTTAATCATTTCCATATGCACAAGGTAATTTTTATTTATTTTATTTGTTGTTTCTGATACTAATGCTTACACCATTTCAATGGGTGAATGAAACAAAAATTAAGGCTCACATTTTTGAAGTTAGATAAACCTTACTGTGAGAATATAATTTCACATGATAACCAATGCAGGCAAATATCTGAGCTATATAGATATGCACAAAAATAAGAAAAATATACACAGATATGAAAACTACTTTGTCAAGTGCATTTGGAAAGGGGTTTTGAAAGGCTGAGAGGAATCAGAATTGATCCGTGTCTTCCTGAGTCAACAATATGGGTGTTTCCCTCAGCCTGGGAGTGCTGAGGCATTTCTTTCTAGGGAGTTATCCTCAATAGCTTGCCTAATTTGAAGTTTCAAACTGCAGTTCACCTACCAGGGTTCAGAGTGTTTATCTGCAAGAATCTTCTCTCCTCCTCCCACCCAGGCTTCACCTCTGTTAACCCATTATACATCCCTTGTTTGTTTCTAACCTTTATGGGTATTGTTATGTTCTCAGATACTTTCTGGGAGGATTGTCTGCCACTTTGGTGCTGATAATTTTAGTGTGTAAGTACAGACTTTCTTTATATTCAACACACAAAATTTTACTAAGTGACATCTGAGGGCCAAAATCCTTGGATGTATGTCCATGGCTCTTAGTGATGCTAATGAGAGTAATATGTGGGCATATGGGGGCAGAATGTAACCTTCAATCAGTTACAGGCTTTTGCATTTAAATTTCACAGTTCTTTTGTCCCAGGATGCTGCTGTGCCATCTTTCTTTAGTCTTTACACATCTTTCAAAACAACAAGGTTTTGGTAAGTGGCTCCAGTGTCATGTGATGAATAGAGGAATTTAGTAACTTTAGAGGAAGGAGAGATTCCTTCTGCTGTTTTCATGTTCAGAGATAGAGGGCATGATCTGAAGTTACTGATGGAGGATTTGGCCTTTCCTATAATTGATTTGTATCCATAGAAATTTTCTATTTATCTTGAAAAACTGCCTTTTCATAATGTTCAATAAATGTTAAATAACCTATTTCTTAGCAGAAAAGGAAAATAAACATAATATGCCATAACATGAATATGCAGAGACAGACCAAGGATAGTACCTTACTATGAATCCAGAGGCATGTTTTAAAGCCTTGCACTGAAGCCCACTCTCAGGCCACCAAACCGAGCCTTTTTTTTGACTGGAAAAAATAAAAACAGCTATGAAGCTTGCCCCATCAGCACCTTCCAGGGACTGGAGAATTGATAGCACTTGGCCCCAGTAACCCAATGCACCATTATGTTCAGGACAGAGCTTTGCCTTTGGCTTATACTGTGGTCTGATTTCTTACAAAGAAGCATTAGATCAGTCTGGTCAGTTAAATAAAGGTGCTGATGTTGCTGTTTCAGACTGCTTTGTTTCAACGTTTTTCATGGAGCTGTAGCTTCTAAATCCTTCTGGAGAAATAGACTTACATACTTAGGTGGTCTGAAATATATTTTTAGAGCAGCTTGTACATAGGCTTCCATGCATGTACGCATGTGCTGGATTTATGAATTACCATTACTTCACTTTTTATGCAGCAGAAATTCTCCTGAGTGTGTAGAATCTAAAATGCAGCTAACACTAACATTGGGGTTTACCTGAATGTTCATGTGGTGAAAAGTGAAGGTCAAGGACATTGTTTCTGAAACTGTGTCAGGGTTCAGGAGTTCAATGTATCCCAAAAGAAATGAGACAATCTTTCAGACCTCTTATCCTTCAAATTGAGTATTTTGGAAGTTAAAAACAAGATGGCACAACTTGGAGAGCCATATTGCAATGGTAGTCTCAAGTTTTGGGCATCCAAGGGTCTTAGCATAATACCTCAGATACTCAAGGATGGTATATTACACTTTGTGCCTATGGCATTATTCCCAATAAAATCAAGACCACCAGGTTAGCACTAGTATGTTGCAAAACATACTCCAAACTACTACTTTCTGACTTCCTGAATAGCTTAGCCCTGAGTCATAAACAAAGCTGTTCTTCACGAGAGGAAAACAAATGCACGCTGAGAACTTTGCAGTTGCTGGGATAGAGAATACCTCTTCTATGCTCATCGCAAGTGAGAAGGTACCTGCTTAAACAAGTAGTCCTACAGCTTGACTAAATTTGGCAATTCAGAACCTACATAAATACTTATTATAACAAACTGTGGACATACAAAAATGTATGTTTTATTTTCTTCTACCTAGGAAATAATTGGAAAGAATGAAAAAATAATTGGTAAGTATATGTTTACATTTAGAAAGAATTCCATGCTCTTTGGGGTGAGCCCTGTCATGAAATAGTGTCCAAACCTGACAGAAATGTTCCCTGGACTTTTCATTCAAAGAAAGTTCAGCTGTGGGGCCCTAGCCAGTTTCCACCGTGAATTACTCCAATCTGCACTCTAAAACTCCCTTTTCATTTTATTTGGATGAAATATTTTTTTATTGTTTGACAACAGTTGCTAAATAGTGTAAGCTGTTAAACAAGTTCTGTGCTTCAGCCCAGAGAAATATGGTTTTCAGTAACGGGCAAAGCAAGCCTTCCTTTTTCTAAGTTTAAACTGAACAGCAGGGCCAGGTGCCGTACTGCTCTAACTTGGTGTCATTCCACTGAATGAGTAAAGCAGCATCAACATTTATCAGTCCAGAATATCTGGATAACACTTATAGATTCTTCTTTTCCCTATTCCTTTTCAGTCAAGTCTCATCCTCAGTCTCCAGTTTCTGTTTATCAAGCATTTTTAAGTCTTGGTGCAGCTCAGGACCCTTAGAAATACAGCATTGATTTATACGTACTTGGAGCTGGCCATCCCAGTCGTGGCTCCCTTACTTCCTTTATGTCTTTATTTTAAAATGATAAAAATTAAAAGAAGGAACAAAGCCCAGGTTTGTGTTCCTTATAGTGTGGATAAACAGTCTTGTTCACCATTTTGCTGGTTGACAGCATTTCAGCCTCTGAGATCTAAAAGCATCTGCACCGCTGCAGATGCAACCTGGAAAACCTTTCAGTCAGGCCTCGGAAAGAGGATGTTCATCCTGAGAACAAAGCATTTTAGAACGTTATGCAGGCATTTGATCACTTTGCAGGCTTACGAAAGCCTATGATGAAAACCGCATCCTACTCATCCAGTGTGCCAAGCAGTGGAGGCTACATAAGGCACTTCTTAAAGTCAGCGGAACTGTTTATGTAAGGGCTGCAACATCAGAGCTTTAAAGCTGACTCTGATTTTGAAAGCCAGTATCAACATTACCCTGAGCAGGTACTACAGGTTGGAGTGGAGAACTTGGGACTTGTTGCCTAGCAGGAGTAAACTAAATACAGACTGGGAGTGGTGATCCAGCATTTCAAAGCAAGCTTGTCTTTTGCCTTTCATAAAAACTGAAAGGCAGAGTTGTTACCTCTGTATATTTCAGAATGAGTTCACTAACATTTTTTGGTTTTCTTCCTCCCCAAATTTATTTTCTTCAGATCTTCAGCATCAAACTACTGGATACGTCCTTATAGCCGGCATTACACATGTTTCTGGGGGAAAAAATAACAGATTTGTTAGTATTCTTCCTTCAAAATACAATTCATGTTAGCTTTATTTTTATTCTGGTCAAGCTGTGAGTGAGGCCATACTACTTGGTGACTATCTGAAAGCAGTCATGCAAATGATTGCTGTACCTCTACTCTCTTATGTCAAGCATGGGGTCCTACAAGCATTTTGATAGGAAATAGTGTTTTGCAATTCCCATTCCCATTTTGGTAAAAAACAGATGTCATCCAATATTTTCTATATTAATTTCTTGTTACAACGTGCTGTTAAAGATAATGGATTTGGATAGGGTCTGAGTTCATGCGGTAGTATATTTCAGAAGCTTTATTGTATCATGTGTGTGGCATTGCATTTTGGCCTTTATGCTGCATATTAAGAAACGAGAAAAAAAGGAAGAAAGTAATGCTATTAGAAAGAAAGCACTCTTCAGACAACCAGGAATCAGGGTGTAGAGAAGCAACCATGGCTCTGAATTACCTGGATTCACATACAAAAATACGAGACCTGCGGGTATTTACTTTGGAAACACTGAGTCCTGTTTTTCAGTTTTAGTCTTTGCTACAACAGAGACTAAATTACTCACAGAACCTGTGGGTGACCAAAAACTGTTATCTTGTGACTCCAGGCTTTTAATAATCTGCTTCTTAAAATATCTCCCTGTATGCCACTTTACTAGGACAGCATGGATTTCATCTTCCTGTGCAACAAAATGATGGTAACGAGTGAGGATGCTATTGCCCACCAAATCATTCTGTAACTAGCACTGCTTCTAGTGCTGCTTGTCCCCTGTTGTGCTAAGAGCTATGCCAGCACAGCCCAGCTGGTAAATCAGACATGGGATGCTGCCTGTGGAGGGTCTAGATCTGCCCGTGGGGTACAATCTGGCTGGTGGGCATAATGACAGGGATTTGAAAACTGCAGCAAAAGCACACAAACGGAAGGTTCTGGTGGAAGAAAGAATCAGAAATAGTGAAACACCACTGTCTGTCCAGCTCTGTGTCTCAGCCAAACTCAAACAGATTATAGCTGTATTTCTAGCATCAAAAATCCAAACAAGTGATACAGTGAGGAAAAGGCTGCTTGAAATTAAGTTTAAATGTACATTTCGTTTTCAAAGTGTAAATATATGCTGTTATATTTTTGAAGATAAGCATCAATAGCTCAGCATTAAGAGCTCAAAGCGGGAATTTTCACCCAATTTACAAATTTTGCATAGTAATTTATTTTTGCCCAGTGCATTGAATTGACTTTATATGAAGACATACCAGCAGATGTAACAAGACCTGGTTTTATAGTTTAAAAAAATGGTGACAGTAGAAGGTTGTTCTTCATAAAGCTGATGTATTATGTAACTATAATAACAGTTATAGTACTCATCCTCATATTTACTTGTAGTTAATAAACTTAAAATAATTCTTTTTTTTACTTCGGAGACAACTGTAAATATCATTGTGTAATATGTATAAATATTTTGTGTCGATCTATTTTATTGCTAGCTATAACAGGTCCTTTACTAAATGCACTTTTAAAACTAAAAGATTACAAAAATCTTTAGTGTTTAAATAATCACCTGGAATAATAATCTGGAAAATGAGAGAAAAGTCTAAGCCTGCAATTACCCTGCAGTCAGCAAAGCGATTATACTGAAAACTAGAAAAAACTGGGTTCAATGCTTACTAGTTAGCTCACTGAAGTGAAGAAAAAGCTTATTCAGCTTGCCAAAAATTTTGTCTAAAATAAATTGCTATAATTGTTCTATGAAGAAATCTAAACTGTAAATTAGAATCGTTCTGGTCTGGAGAGGAGGAAGTTCTGGGGCAATTTGGCAATTGGCATTTAAGGGCTAAAAATAAACTACTTGGTATCTGTAAAGATCTGCCTCCCATGACAATCATTAATATGAAATTTGTTGAATTAACCAAGCTCTATTCAGTTACCAGACTGGTTGGCTCAGGCAGTTCCATATATTCCAATGGACATAAAAGAAAGCCTTGTGTTGTTTCTCTGAAAAGAGGCAAAATAACATGTTCAATCCCGTGGGATGAAAAATTCAAGTCAGGTTCTGTCTGATGAAAAATTGAAGTCAACATTTTCCAACCTAAATGTGAAAATCCAGACTGTCAGAGGTAATCAGTATTTGCAGCTTCTGTTAACTAGAGTATCAAGCTTAGGGTAACTGTTAACTGTAATTCCAGCCAAGTAAAAGCACTTGTTGCATAATGATTAACTGAAGCATCTATATATGGAGAGAACTGCTAGCATCTTGTTTCTGTTCTGTGATTAAACTCTCTCTCCACTTTAATATAGCACCTTATTTAGAAAAAGAGAATCGAAGATGAATTTCAAGGTACAATTTATAGCCCCCTGTACATTATCTCATACCCTCCATTACTATTATTTTGTTGTCATTACAGCTTTTCTTATACTCACCCATTTCTTGCAGTGTTCAGCTGAATTTCAGGGCCATTCTTGAGTATATATCACATAGTGCTTAATAGTGTGAATGTTCGTGTCAGAGGGAACAGTAGCAAGCACAATGATAATATTTATGGCAACCTTACCTTATAGTGTTCCCAGTCTGTGAGCAAATCTGTTTTGTATTTATCTGAAAGCATTACTCATAGAAGCCAAACCATGCAAATATAAACATTTTTTAATTCAGTGATATGGAATAAACTACACTGGTACAGAATACAGGGATGGACATTTAGTCCAGTTCTGCAGAATCTGTTCTTTGTTTTGGTGTTTTTTTGGTGATGGTTTGGTTTTTTTTTTCTTTTTCTGTGAATTATCTGCAGTTTTGTGAACCTCTTTGTACATTTTAAGATACACTGAGCAAAACTGTTACTTCTTTTTATGTTATTTCTTTTTTATGGCTCCTCATGCTGCTTTTTTTTTTCCGTATCTGTCATTTACATATCCATAAAGTTTTTCCTGTTTGCACTTCTTCCTGTATTTGAGGGTGCTGACAATTATCAAGATTATTAGTAGTAGTAATTGCATATATTCCAATGAATTTGTCATTGGTGAGCTTATGTCATGCCCTGTAGATTGTGTGCTCTTTGAGAGAGGATTTATTGGTATTTTGATGTGAAAAATGAAAGCCTCATTTTGTGACAGTTACTAAACAACTGGTACAGAGTGGAAGGATTCACAGAGTGGAAGGGGTTGGAAGGGCCCTCCAGAGATCTTCTAGTCCACCCCCCCTGCCAGAGCAGGATCCCCTAGTGTAGATCACACAGGAACAAGTCCAGGGGCTTTGGAAAGTCTCCAGAGAAGGAGACCCCACCCCCTCTCTGGGCAGCCTGTTCAGTGCTCTGTCACCCTCACAGGGAAGAAGGGTTTCCTCATGTTCAGGTTGAACTTTCTGTTTTCCAGTTTATGGCCATTGCCCCGAGTCCTGTCACTGGCAACCACTGAGAAGAGCCTGGCCCCATCTTCCTGACACCCACCCTTTAGATATTTGTAAGCATTGATAAGATTCCCCCCTCAGCCTCCTCTTCTCCAAGCTGAACAGACCCAGCTCTCTCAGCCTTTCCTCATATGGAAGGTGCTCCAGGCCCTTCATCATCTTAGTGGCCCTGCACTGGACCTTCTCCAGTAGTTCCTTGTCCTTCCTGAACTGAGGAGCCCAGAACTGGACACAGTACTCCAGGTGAGGCCTCCCCTGGGCAGAAGGGGAGGATAACTTCCCTCGACCTGCTGGCCACGCTCTTCTTAATGCATCCCAGGATGCCATTGGCCTTCTTAGTCACAAGGACACACCGTTGGCTCATGGTCATCCTGTTGTCCACTGGGACTCCAAGCTCCTTTTCCCCAGAGCTGCCCTCCAAGGGAACAGCCCCCAGCCTGTACTGATCCACGGGGTTGTTCTTCCCCAGATGCAGTACTTTACACTTGCCCTTATGAATTTCATTAGATTTCTCCCCGCCCAGCTCTCCAGCCTGTCCAGGTCACACTGGATGGCAGCACAGCCTTCTGGCATGGAGCCACTCCTCACAGTTTTCTATCGTCAGCAAACTTGATGAGAGTACATTCTATCCCTTCGTCCAGGTCATTGATGAATATTTTGAACAATGGAGACAGGAGGGGAGAGGGACTGCCACAGGATGTGGGGATGGTGGTGGTTACCACCATAGAATATAACAATAACAATTATTATTACAACAACAACGCCAAAACCAACCACAATAATTTAATAGGCAATAAATAGAAAGACATAGGTTCAGATTCTGGGTGGGAATCAGTCAGTGGATTTTCACCAGCTAAGTCTGACCTGCAGCATTTGAACAGCTAAGATTTGTCCATGGACATCAATTTGCCAGGGCTGTAGCACCTTACATGAATATATAATGGTGGAGTGAATACATACTCAAAATACTTTTGATGCACTGTAATAATAATGTTATAAATTTTATTTTTGCCATGACATAGAAATGTATTTTATATTGCATTGTATTACACATTTAACAAATAAACTTGTAATGTATTAAAGTGGTAAGGTGAATTTATTCCTGGGAGACAGATGTCTTACAATTTTTCTTCTTCTTCAACTCCATTCTCCTGTTTGTAATGTGGCTAATTACATTATCTCTGTCATGTATATTACCTCCAGCTAACAATTCAGGCTCATGCTACTTAAAGCTCT